GCAGAACAATAATTAATTACATGGGACTAACCTGATAAAGGACTGAAATGATGTTTATGACTTTTTGCTTGAAACATTCTTTTATTTACTTATTTAGAGATAGTGCCACACCATTTTTTTAGTTACCCAGTCCAGTTGAATAATCTCAAGGTCATGAGCAGAGGTCTTGCACTGTCACCCATACTGGAGTGCAATGGTGCGATCTCAGCTCACTGCAACATCAGCCTCCCAGGTTCATGCTATTCTCCTGCCTCAGCCTCCCAAGTAGCTGGGATTACAGGCACACAACACCACACGTGGCTAATGGTGCACACCACCAGACCTGGCTAATTTTTTGTATTTTTAGTAGAGAGAGACAGGGTTTCACTATGTTGGCCATACTGTTCTCAAACTGCTGACCTTGTGATCCTCCCACCTCAGCCTCCCAAAGTGCTGGGATTACAGGTGTGAGCCACCACACCCAGCCAGGGCCACGCCATATTGTCCAAGTTCGTCTCAAACTCCTGAATTTGAGTAATCCTCCCACTTCAGCCTCCTAAGTAGCTGGGATTATAGACATGCTGCTGATTGTTTTGTTTTGTTTTCCAGAGTTAAAACAAAAACAAAAACTTAGGCCAGGTGCGGTGGCTCATGCCTGTAATCTTAGCAGTTTGTGAGGCTGAAGTGGGCAGATCACCTGAGGTTGGGAGTTTAAATCAACCTGACAAACATGGAGAAACCCCGTCTCTACTAAAAAGACAAAAATTAGCAGGCGTGGTGGTGGGAACCTATAATCCCAGCTACTCGGGAGGCTGAGGCAGGAGAATTGCTTAAACCTAGGAGTAGAAGGTTGCAATGAACCAAGATCGCACCACTGCCCTCCAGCCTAGGCAATGGAGCCAAACTCCTTCTCAAAAAAAAAATCTTTTTCTCCTAAGATATTTATAGCTTACAGTAATTGGGAAAGTATACTTTTGTGAGCAAAATGGAAACATTTACCATTCTCTCTAACTGATGTCGTCAAAATTTGGAAACTATTAATGAGTATTTTTATTTTATGGCAATATAGATATTTGAATACATTCAATAAGAATCTGTTTTCTTCTGTGATAGAACACAATGAGAGACACTGGTGATTTTACTAAGGCTTTGACTGGAAAGTTGTATTATCATATGTGATCAGGCTGCTTTAAGGAATTGAGACTGACTTTAAAGGCAATAGACTTGGAAAAAGGCTGTCCTGGTTCTTTGTTTCTACAGTTCCTTTAAAGGATTTTTGATAAGAGGGTAAGTAAAGTATGTCACATTCTAACAGGCCCAGGAAACCCAAGAAATTTTGGGGACCTTGAGAAGAGAGGAACTCATTCAATTTGTATAGTTATTACAGGTACAATCTAATGGAAAATCCTTGGCTTGGCTTTCTAGCCTTGAGAGGCTTTTAAAAGTGTAGTCTGAGATTTTTATGGAAAAAGCCCCTGCAAAGCCAATTTATAAAGAGCCTATATAGCCGATCACTATTGCTGCTTTACTTTATGCAAATAATTAGACCATGTATAATAAGACTAAAATTATTCTGCAAATAAATTGATTCTGCTATGATTTATCTTTGTTAGAAATGGGGGACTAGAGATTGAAAAATTATGTTTCAGAAGAAAATTATAGTACACCTGTTGTTAGATTCTAGCACTGACCATTGTTTCTATTATTTGCCTACAATTCAGACTGAATTTTGAATTCCTTCCTGGTTACAAGTCTCCAAACGAATGTTTCCAAATTTTTATTCCATTTTTCTGACTTGGACTTACTGAAATTGCTATTGTCTTTTTCCTGAGGGCCTGCAAGTTGAAGCTCATGTATAAACAACCTTGTGATATACAAATTACTGACCAGAAAAGCTGGCAGATTGCTACTGCCTATTTCCACTTCAGCTGAGAATGCTTTGAGTTTAACATCAAGACACCTCAACTGACAGCCCTCCAAACTCTAAAGAAACTGGTTTACACTGTTCCAAACATTAACCTTTGTTTTTCTTCTGTGTGAGAGCCTGTCTGCAACACCATCTCCTGAAATGAGATACAGCTGTTTAATGGGGCTGGCCTATTTCCAGAAATGGGAGACTGGGTTAATGGGATCCTTTGCCACTCAGCTATTAACTCAAATATTTTCTCCACACACCAACTCAGCTTTTATTGTGTGAAACATCTAGGGAAGGTTCATCTGGAAATGTTGTGGTGCAGAAAATGATTCCCCAAAAATATGATGCTTTGGTATGCTGAGTGCTTTTGAAAATTGAAAAGCCTCAGAAATAAGCCCCAGAATCAAGGTCCCTCTAATTCTGTCTTTCCCTCTCTCTCCAAGGGCATAGAGGGTCTCCCTCTGGAGTTCCTTTATCTGACCAAGAAAGCTTCTCACCAAAAGAAACACAATCACCTTCTATCTCCTTCCTGAAATCTCATCATCTATTTCAGGAAAGAAGACTGAAGAATGACCTTTACACTGGGTTAATCAAATGTATGCCTTTCCTGATGTACAGCTAATTGCCATAGGCTAATGCAGGCCTTCTTATGAAAATGGCTCCCTTGTTACTCAAACTTGGCCAATTTCTATACATTATCTTTTGATGACTCCCTTCTGTGGGACAAGCCACTCTAGAAACAGATATTTCTAGCTCCAAAGAAAATATATAACAAATCTGTGACCAGCCAGTAATAATTGATCAGCAATTCTGTCTCCTGTCAGATCTTGATCAAAACAAGGGAATGTGAAATGTGATATACAAAATGGCATCACTCTGGTTCAGAGCTCTAAAATTAAATCAGGGCTGGGTGCAGTGGCTGACACCTGTAATCTCAGCACTTTGGGAGGCCAAGGAGGGAGGATTGCTTGAGCTCAGGAGTTCAAGGGCAACATTGTGAGACCTCATCTCTACTAAAAATAAAAATTTTAAAAAATTCAGTTTGGTGTGTTAGGACGTGACTGTAGTTCCAGCTACTCAGGAGGTTCAAGTAGGAGGATCACTTGAGCCTGGTAGTTCGATGCTTCTGAGAGCTGCGATCACACCACTGTACTCCAGCCTGGGTGACAGAGTGAGACCTTGTCTCAAAAATACATAAATAATGAAATCACATTTCCTAAGACCTCAGTAAGTGTCTTTACTGTCCAGTCTTTCACCACTTCTTGATTAACAAGAATAACATAAGAAACATTTTAATGTCATCATTTTGCTGATGTGTTGAGTATTAACTGAAGAGAGGCAAAAGAAGACTCAGGGAGACTAGTTAGGAGATTATGGAAATAATCCAGGCAAGAGATGTTGATGACTTTCATCAAGGCAGTAGTCATAAAAATGGAAAGAAATGATCAAAGTGTGTGTGTGTGTGTGTGTGTGTGTGTGTGTGTGTGTGTGTGTTAGAGATAGGGTCTTGCTGTGTTGCCCAGGCTGGCCCCAAACTTCTAGACTCAAGTGATTCTCCCACCTTTGCCTCCTGAGTAGCTGGAAGCTGGAACTACAGGTGTGCACCATCATACATGGTAGATTCTGTAAATATTTTACAGAAGGTGCCAACAGCATTTGTTAATAGACTGAATATGGGATATGGGATGGGAGAGAAATCTAGGAATAAAAGATGATTCCAGGGCTTGTGCCTAAACAACTAGAAGGATCCCATTGGATTAGTTCAAAAAGACTGAAAGGAGCATATTTTTATAGGGAGTATAGAGATGATCAGGAATTTAGTCTGGGACCTGTTACATGTAAGATGCTCACTTGATATTCAACGGAGATGTCAAGTAAGTAGTTGGAGTCACCTTAATATTGGAAGATATTACTAAGGGAGAAAGTGCAGACAGAAAAGAGAATAGTTCCAAAGACTGTGGAGGGGCAGCAAGGATGATTAAGAAAGGAGGCTAAAGAATAGTGGCAAATGAGGTGGGAAGGTAATTGGGAGTGTGTGGTGGTATTCTTGAGGTCAACCGAAGAAAAGACTTCAAGGAGGACGCAATGATCAACTCAAATGGCACTATTATATGAGATGAGAATGAATAATTGATAATTGGTTGCAGCAACACAGAGGTCATTTATGACCTTGACAAGAACAACTTGTGTTGACCAGTGAGATTGAGAGCCTAACTGTAGTGAACTTAAGAAAAACGACTCAACAGATGCTTATATGCAGATGTTCATGACAGCAGTATTCACAATAGTCCCAAAGTGGAAACAATCCAAGTGTCCATTGACAAGAAAATGGATAAACATAATGGGCTATATGCATACAATGGACTATTACTCAGCCATGAAAAGGAATGAAGTTCTGACTCATGGTACCATAGAGACAAACCTTGAAAACATTATGCTATATGAAAGAAGCTAGACACCAACAAATAAATATTGCATGATTCCACTTATAGAAGTACCCAGTGTAGTCAAATTCAGAGACAGAAAGTAGAATGGTGCTACTTGGGGCTGAAGGTCAGGGGAGAATGGACACTATTGGTTAAGGGATATGCTGTTTCTGTTTGGAATAAAAAATTCTAGATATGGATAGTGTTGATGGTTGGACAACATCGTGAATGTAATTAGTTCCCCTGAATTGTATATTTGAAAACAGTTAAAATGGTAAATTCTGTTACATATATTTAACCACAATAAATTGGCCGGGCATGATAGCTCATGCCTGTAATTCCAGCACTTTGCAAGGCCGAGATGGGAGGACTGCGTGAGCCCAAGAGTTCAAGACCAGCCTGGGCAACATAGTAAGACCACCCCCGCAAGAAAAATAGAATTGAAAAAGAAAAAAAAAATTGCGACTCTCTGAAAAAAAAAACAGAATTGAAAAATAAAAATTGAAAACAACAGACAAATCTTTCATGAAGTTTTGCTGTAAAGAGTCGGGGGAACAAAGAAATGAGGTAATAGTAGAAGAGGGAAAGGGGTCAAAAATGATTTTGTTTTCAGAGGGGTGAAATTACAAGCTGTTTTATGCCAGTTGAAATGATCCAAGAGAAAAGAAAGGATAATGCAAGAGAGGGGAGGGTAGCTCCAGCAGTGCCACTGAGTAAGCGAGAGGAGAAGGGGCCCAGTGCTGAGTGGCAGTGGCCTTTGCTAGCAGGAGAGAAAGGGGAAGTCTGTGGTGAGAAATGCTGGGAACATGAGATTCTCTACCATCTTGATGGGGGAAGGCAGAGGCCATGGACCAACATGCTGAGGAAAAAGGGATAGGCAGTGCAGATAGAGAGTTTGTCAGAATTCTCCTCTGACTGCTTTTATTTTCTCTCTGAGTACTGTCCCCCCATGATGTCCATGTCCTAAATCCAAGATCTGTGACTGTGTTACCTTATATGGCCAAAGGGACTTGGCAGATGTGATTAAGGGTAAGGACGGTGAGATGAGAAGATTTTGCTGGATTACCAGGGTAGACCCTATATAATTACACGAGTCCTTAAAAGTGGAAGAGGACAATGAAGTACTGAAACATGCTACAGCATGAATGAACCTTGAAAGCACACCATGTGAAAAAAGCAGTGACAAAAGAGCATATACTGTGTGATTTGTTTACATTAAAAGGCCAGAAGAGGAAAATCCATACAGGCAGAAAGCAGATTAGTGGTTACCAAGGGTTAGGAATTAGTGATGGGCAAGAATAAAAGATAACTGCTAAAGGGCACAGGGTTTCTTGGGGATGATGAAAATGTTCCAAACTTGGTTCTGATAATGGATGGATATACAACTCCATGAATATACTAACAACTATCAAATTGTACACTTTAAATGCATAAATTAGATGGTATGTGAACTACATCTTCACTATGACTATTACTAAAAACAGTGGAAGGGGGCCGGGCACGGTGGCTCATGCCTGTAATCCCAGCATTTTGGGAAGCCAAAGCAGATAGATCACGAGGTCAGGAGTTCAAGACCAGCAGGGCCAACATGGTGAAACCCCACCTCTACTAAAAATACAAAAAATTAGCCGAGCATGGTGGCGCACACCTGTGTCCCAGCTACTCGGGAGGCTGAGGCAGCAGAATTGCTTGAACCCAGCAGACAGAGGTTGCAGTGAGCCGAGATTGTGCCACTGCACTCCAGCCTGGCAACAGAGTAAGACTCTGTCTCAAGAAAACAAAACAAAACAAAAAAACAGTGGAAGAAGGAGGCAGAAGAAGATGGTTGAGAGAAACGTGATGATGGGGAAAGGGTCAGAGAGTTGTTGACTTTCAAGATGGAATAAGGCAGAGACCATGAGCAAAGATGTACAAGTGGCCTCTAGAAATAAGAAAAGGCAAAAAGGGCTTCTCCCTGTGATTTCCAGAAATGGACATAGTCCTGCCTATACCTTGGTTTTAACCCAGGAAGACTTCTATCCAACTTCTGACTTCTAGACTGTGAGATATAAATGTGTGTTGTTTTAAGCCACCGCATTTGTAGTTTCTGTTTGTTTGTTTAGTTTTGTTTTGTTTTTAACAGAGTCTCACTCTGTTGCCCAGGCTGGAATGCAGTGGCATGATCTCAGCTCACTGCAACCTCTGCCTCTCAGGTTCAGGCAATTCTCCTACCTCAGCCTCCCAAGTAGCTGGGATTACAGGGACCTGCCACCATGCTCAGCTAATTTTTTTGTATTTTTAGTAGAGACAAGGTTTCGCCATGTTGGCCAGTCTGGTCTCGAACTCCTGACCTCAGGTGATCCACCCACCTTGGCCTTCCAAAGAACTGGGATTACAGGCATGAGCCACTGTGCCCGGCCTGTAGTAGTTTTTTATGATGGGCATCAACTGAGAGAGAGTGGGAAAGGAAGTATTGGAGGACTGACAGAAGATGACAGAAAACAGTTGTCTAAGTGCAAAAGAATGAATGAGTCAGAAAAATGTAATATAACTGCCAAATAGAATTAAAAATACATAACAAAATTGAGAACACCTTCTCCCCCATCTAGATGGCTACTATGAGAGTTCCACTTTTTATTAGAAAATATTAATCACCCCACTGTTATGCAATGTTTTTGTGACCCAGTGAAGACCATTTGTTATAAGTTTGGTGAATGATTAGATCATAATCTTAACCACAAATGATTTCTGCGTTGGGTCATTAGCAAACACTGTCCCCAAAAATGAATGCAATGGGCTGTTTCAGTCTTAAAAACTGAAATAAAATAAAATAAAACAAAACTCAAGCCTTGCAAAATCACCTGTGATTATTGCTCAACCTGTAAGACCCAGCTCAAAAATTCATCAACGTAGAATATACTGCTAAAATAGAATAGAGTCCCCTTCAGAGGAATCCTCCCCAAACTCTTTCTCAGTGTTTTAGTCAGGGCTCTCCAGAGAAGCAGAACCAATAAGAGATTAGATATATATTTATTTAATAGGAGATATACTGTGGACATTGTTTCAAGTGATTACGGAGGCCAAGAAGTCCCACGATGTGCAGTCCTCTGCAAGCTGGATCCAGGACAGCAGATGGTGTAATTCAGTCAGAAGTCAGAAGGCCTGTGAGCCAGGGGAGCTGATAGAAATCCTGGTCTGGGTCCCAAGGCCTGAGAATCAGGAGCACAACTGTCTGAGGGTAAAAGAAGATGGATGATGTCCCAGTTCAAGCAGAAGGAACAAATTCACCCTTCCTTCACCTTTTTGTTCTATCCAGGTCCTCAATGGATTGAATGACACCCACCCATGTTGGTAAGGGTGACCTCTACTCAATCTACTGATTCAAATGCTAATCTCTTCCAGGACCATCCTCACCAACACACCCAGAAATAATGTGTTACCAGCTATTTGATGTGTTACCTTAGCCCAGTCAGATTGACACATATTAACCATCACACTCAGGGATGGCCATGTACATACAAACAAGGAAGAGTCTCCTAGCAGAATCCTGAGGCAGCCATATTGAACTTAATCCACTCTTAAGGAAGTAAGTTAACAAACAGATGCACATGAAGTTTGCTGGCCCTATGATTTACTTTATTGTCCTCCTCCAGCAAGACATGCTATAAGATCTGGGCAAGTGACATTTTTAGGTTGCTCTTTTTTCTTTTCTAAAGGTTTTTTTTTTAATCGTGCATATTCTGGTTGTCTTTTATCATTTATTCCTTTTTGTACCCTAGAAGTAGACCATACACACATTTAATTCATATGAACTAAAGTGGGCTTAAGAGAGGGAAGTATAAGCATCATTTGACTAAGCAAATTCATGTCCAGAGTAAGCAGAAGATAGAAGACACAAATGTGTCATTCTCTCAATTGGTCTGTTTCCAGGTGCCTCTCATAGTGTGGGCATCTAGCAGTCTGACTCCAAGTCCAGAGGTCCTAAATGCAAGCCAATGACTTCCTCTGGGGCTCAATAGAAGGATGAGCCATCTGTTCCAATGCTGCAAGGAAAATCCTCTAGGTTGGACTTACTGAGACAGAATGTCAGCCTCCAATGTGACTCATAAATGCAATATATTGTGCCTTTTGGGCAATTTAAGAGATCTTCCATGGTAGTCTTGACTATACATAATCTTTATTTGTAACATACACATTTTAAACTTTTAGAGAATTTTCAATTTTACTAATACAGCAGAAAACAAAAATAAAAAGGCTACATGAAACCAAGTATGGAAGCAAATGGTATGTGAGACATGTTGGAACATACATGTTCTAAAGTAGATAGAAAGGGAAGGAAGGACCAAGCCAATGCAAATATTTATGATTCACTAAATATACTTGAGATACATTAAGCCCTTGATATTTTTGAAGCCTTACATCAGCCACTCACAGTCAATACCATTCTGACCCCACTTGTCCTTTGCCTCAAAAATGCAAATGAAATTGAGACCTACTCATCAGGCTGATTGATGAGATAGAGCTACTGCCATGCACATGTGTCCCTGTGTCTTTCCAATAGGCAAGTCCCTGTGTAGGCTGGTTCCATACACCTTGGATCCCCTTGCTCAAACATCACCTCTGATCCTCATAACCACACCGTCAGAAAGAAAAGCTGGCACAGCAAGGGGAAAGACAGGAATATGAACATTGCATAATCCAGATTCAGGTAGTATGGTCCTTCTACCCTGCTTGTACCTTATCCAAAAGGGGTTGATCTACCTCACTCTTTCCTCTCACTTCTCGTTGAATATTTTAAATTACTTAATTAATTGTGTGATTCTAGATTCTTAGTTTGGCCTGTAGGTCTTCCCTGAGATAACTTTGTCTAAGGGTCTAGGAAGTTACCATTGCCACAAGGTAATTTCTCACACAACAGGAGCTGACCTTGGAACCTTTGCAAAAGATATGACTGCATTGAGAGCTGTTACATTTGCCATTTAGCCCATAGATTGCAAAATTTTGTACAACCACATCCAGACCTGATCAACTAAAATTCTGAAAATGAAAGATAAATGAAAGATGACAGTAGCTGTCATGTCTTTTACTTGTTTTTCATTAAGTAGGCAAGGTGTCTGTTCAGTGTGGGAAAACTGCACTATGTCAGACAAGAAAATATATGAAATTAGACTATGGAAAGAAATAAGCATGTGCTCTACTAAGAGACTGTTTATCTGGTATACCTCCTTCTCCTGGAAACTGCCATATAGCATCCATATACCTTGTATGAAAGCCACATTTTCTTATAATATTCCCATTGCTTTGATTTTAGTTGATTGGTTTAGGGATGAATACTCAAACTAAGCTAAGCCAATAAGTCTCTTCCCTGGGATTTATAAATTTAGAACCCCCAAAATTGAGGTTAGTTCCTCTTTAATATGTAGATTTGCATGTTGTATTCCTCTTTAATATGTAGATTTGCATGTTGTATTCCTAGAGATACTGTACACTGCAGATTCTACATTTTTCAAATTGAAGATGTGTGGCAACTTCACATCAAACAAGTCTATTGGAGCCATTTTCCTGACAGCATGCACTTACTTTATGCCTCTATCACATTTTGATAATTCTCATAATATTTCAAACTTTTTCATTAATTATTATAACTGCTACAGTGATCTGTGATCAGTGAACTTTGATCATTATTGTAATCATTTAGGGGCACCACAAACTGCATCTATATAAGATGGTAAACTTAATAAAATGTGTGTCTTCCTACTGATCCACTGACCAGTCGTTTCCAGTCTCTCTGCCTCTCCTCAGACCTCCCTTTTCCCTGAGACACAACAATATTGGAATTAGGCCAATTAATAACCCTATAATGGCCTCCAAGTGATCAAGAGAAAGGAAGAGTCACACTCTCTCACCTTAAATCAAATCTAGAAATGATTAAGCTTAGTGAGGAAGACATATCAAAAGCTGAGATAAGCTGAAAGCTATGCTTCTTGTGACAAAACAGCCTTTGATTGGAAGGAGATACATTTAGGACTTTCATAGCTAGATAGAAGAAGGCAGTGGCTGGCTTCAAAAGACAGGCTGACTCTCTTGTTAGGGACTAAGGTAACTTAGTCCCACTTTAAGTGGAAGCCAGTGTTCATTGACCATTCTGAATATCCTAGAGCCCTTAACAATTATGCTCAATCTATTCTGCCTGTATTCTATAAATGAAACATCACAGCCTGAAGGAAATCACATTTGTTTACAGAATAGTTTACTGAATATTTTAAGCCCACTGTTGAGACCTACTGCTCAGAAAAGAAGATTCCTTTCAAAGTATTACTCTCTAACAGTGTAACTGGTCACCCAAGAGCATGATGAAGATGTACAAGATTAATGTTGTTTCCATGCCTGCTAACACACCTATTCTGCAGCCCATGGATCACAGAGTTATTTCTATTTTCAGGTCTTATTATTTAAGAAACACATTTCAAAAGGCTTTAGATACCCTGTATAGTGATTCCTCTGATGGATCTGGGCAAAGTGAAAACCTTCTGGAAAGGATTCACCATTCTAGATGTCATTAAGAACATCTATGATTTGTGGGAGGAGGTCAAAATATCAACATTAACAGGACTTTGGAAGAAGTTGATTCCACCTCTCATGACTTTGAAGGGTTAAAGTCTCCAATAGAAGAAGTAATTATAGATGTGCTAGAAACAGCAAGAGAACTAGAATTTGAAGTGGAGCCTGAAGATATGACTGAATTGTTACAATCTCATAATGAAACTTGAAAAATAAGGATTGCTTCTGATGAATGGGCAAAGGAATTACTGTTTTTTGAGACAGGGTCTTGCTCTGTCACCCAGACTGCAGTGCAGTAGCACATTCATAGCACACCATAACTTCAAACTCCTCGGCTCAAACAATCTTCCTACCTCAGCCTCCCAACTAGGTAGGACTACAAATGTATGCCACCATGTCTGGCTAATTTAAAAACATTTCTTTTTTGTAGACATGGGGTCTCACTATGTTGCATAGGCTGCTCTTGAACTCCTGGTCTTGAGTAATTCCCTTACCTTGGCTTCCCTAAATACTGGGATTATAGGCATATGCCACACCCAGCCAAAAATAGTTTCTTGAGATGGAATCTACTCAAGATAAATATAAAGGTGAAGATGCTGGGAACTTTGTTAAAATGACAACAAAGAACTTAGAATATTACATAAACTTAGTTGATAAAGCAGCAGCGGGGTTTGAGAGGACTGACTCCAATTTTGAAAGACATTCAACTTTGGGTAAAATGCTATTAAACAGTATTACATGCTATAGAGAAATCTTTTGTGAAATAAAGAGTCAGTGGATGCATCAAACTTCATTGCTGTCTCATTGTTTTAAGAAATTGCTATAGCTACCTAACCTCCAACAACCACCATTTGCTCAGTCAGCAGCAATCAACACTGAGGCAAGACCCTCCAACAGCAAAAAGACTATAACTTGCTGAAGGCTCAGATGATCATTAGCACTTTTTAGCAATACAGTATTTTTAATTTTAAATTTTTTAGATATAATGATCTTGTATACTTAATAGACTATAGCAGGGGTATCCAATCTTCTGGCTTCTCTAAGCCACATTGGAAAAAGAAGAATCGTCTTGGGCCACACATAAAACACACTAACACTAGCAATAACTGATGTGCTAAAAGATAATAATAATAATAATTGCAAAAGAAATCTCATAATGTTTTAGGAAAGTTTACAAATTTGTGTTCGGCACACTCAAAACTGTCCTAGGTTGCATGTAGCCTGCAGGCCATGGGTTGGACAATCTTGAACCATAGTATAGTGTAAACATAACTTTTATATGTACTGAGAAACTATAAAATATGTGTGACCCACTTCATTGTGATGGTCTGGAACTGAACCCACAATATCTGTGAGGTACACCTATATTGGGATTTCAACCTGATACCTTAGGTTCTGGAGCCAGATTACTTAGATTTGAATATCAGAAGAACTCAGTAAATCTTAGCTATCTTTACTCTTTACAAGTTGAGATGAAGTATTTTCTTTTTCTTCTTCTTTTTTTTTTTTTTTTTTTTTTTTGAGATGGAGTCTTGCTCTGTCACCCAGGCTGGAGTGCAGTGGCGTGATCTCGACTCACTGCAACCTCCACCTCCTAGGTTCAAGCAATTCCCCTGTCACAGCCTCCCTAGTAGCTGGAACTGCAAGC